GGGAGGCCATATACATCACCTCCAAAGATAACTGTCAAGCACCAATCTCAAAAAATGAGTCCCCAAAACTGTGAAGTGAGACTCTATGGTAGCAAACCTCATGTTCATCGTCTCCATGTGAACGTCTAAAAGTAAGGTGGAATCACACCCGCATCCTCACTGCCAACTCGAGGGGGATCAACAGGAACACGATTCATCGGATCATCGACATCTCGTATCAGATCATCGTCATGATACTAAGGTGCACCAGAGGTAGAGCCTGCTGCTTGCTTTCTTTTTATTGTCCTCGTCCTCCCAAGCTTTTCCCATCCCGATTTATAAAGAGATTTAATATGAATGTAGGAGGATAAGGGAATATTGGGATCTAGAGAGACATTGATACAGACTTTGAGAAAGACATGGCTAAAAAGATAACCATAAACAAGGGTATCAAATTTCTTTGATTGAAAGTTGTTGATGACGTCGACAAGCTCACCAAAGATAATTTGAGGAAACTTTATTTGTTTATGATGTTGAAAGCAATGAATCCACCAAATATCAACGGTACGAAGGGTGGAGAATTTACCACTGGATGGTCGAAACCACCAAGTGATAATAAGAAGTAAGAAACACTCATGAATGTCTAGGGTATTGACATTATGACCAACCTTATAAGGGGATTCTACAATATATCTCTCATTGTCTATACCCTTAACCTCTAGACCTAAGTCTTGGGCTATAAAAGTGGCATCTATGTGAAGATATTGCCCCATGAGATAGGAGCCAATACTAACAGTGGCATTTAGAGTTTGATCAACAACACAAACAACATTTGAATAGAAGGTGTTGTCTAGTTTCTAAGATTGGAGTTGTAGAAGGTATTTGAAATTTAGCTCGGTCATGGCGGAAAAAGAAGGCATACACTCGCCCCTAAGGGTTAAAGACTCAAAGAATTGCAAGTATCGATGCCAAAGGACCGAGTTTATCAAAGCACGAATTTTGAATGGTAAGCTTATTTGGATTAGGAACGAGATTGGGAATAGGGTTTGAAGGTTGATTTTGAGGAGAAGGTGCTCGGGGAGGAGGGTGGGATCGGGAAGAATGGGCTCGTTTAGACATATTGGAATAAAACGGGATCGATAAACCTACAAAATTGCACAATATATATACGTATGCTAATATCAATTCCCAATACTCAAAAGAGTATACAATATCAAGGTAATGAAAATTAAATAAACTTATGGGCTTAAAGAGTTTAAATACATGCACGAGTAAAAAAAAGAAATAATATATTTTTAAAAATAAATATAAATATAAATGTATATATAGAATTATAAACGTATAAATAACAAAAAAATTGTAAATAATATATATATATATATATAAACGTAATGGAAGCTAAATATGAACAAATATGCGTAAGTTTTGAAATGAACGTTAAATATATTTCTATGTAGATAAACTAAATAAATTAGCTTATAATATATATATAATTAATCAATGAAATTCGAAATATATAATTTTTTTAATTTGGAATAAATAAAGAAAATAGTGAAATTTGTGCAAATCGAAACATGTTACGGTGCGAAATCATTTAGAAAACTAAACCGAATATGTATTTTGAACTAATTTACAAAGAATATTCGAAGAAATAAAAGTTAGGATTTTAAAAAATACCTTAAATCACGATTTGAGAAGTAAATGGGAGAATGTAGCTCGATTTTAATGAAATGCAGGCAACAAACGTGAAAATCGACCCAAAAATATCCAAAAATGACAAAAAAAAAAAAACGACGGTAATTTAAGGAAGGGATGAGAGGTTTTTCGAATGGGTGTTTAGGGTTGGAAACAAACGAAGAATTTAATAGGGGGTTGGAAACAAACGAAAATGACAAAAAATCAACATGATTGATCTAAATTAGAAAGAAAAAATCATCTAAAATCCGATTTGAGAGATCGGATCTTCCAAATCGGACTAGTAGCTAGACTCTGCGTAAATGAAGCATATTGCAAAGCTCTATGGTATTGCCTGACTTCAGCTGCAAACTTAGCTTACTACGCTGATCATTAACTACAGGTAATCTACTTCTTTAATTCAATTACTAAAATCATTTTGTTCTAGTTTCTTAGCTTTCTCATTATTCTCCCTTTGATTGTCAAACAGTACGAGAGAAGTTATAAAGCTTCTCTTTTTGAATGCTGTTTAGTATTGTTATTGATTTTATGGGTTTTCTCTGAATTTTTGCTGTGATTAGGTTTGGGATTGTAAAGCTTTGAAGGATTCTTTGGATTTTGATATGATAACTGTTCATAAAAAATTGTTGGTCGAATCGGTTGTTTTCCCAGTTTCTCTATACCCTTTTTTTTAACTAGTAAGAAGAGTGGAGTTGCTAAAATTTACAACTGTTTAGGGTTTTTCTAATTGATCTGCATGAGAGAAACTTGATTTGACTAATTGAATCGGATCAGAGAAGCTAGGTTTCTGTTGTATTGAATATTCAACTAGCTGATAAATAATGGAAATTTGAGTTTGTTTTTCTGTGTTTTTTTGTGAAAGCAAACGGTAGATTGGGGGGGGGGGGAGTTGGATTTCGGACTAGATGGATAATTCAGATTTAAGAGGTGGGCTTTTATCGGGTCCGAGTCGAGGGCTGTTTGATATCGAGTCATCCATTCACAGAGATCAACAACCCCAGTTGGGTCAACCTTCCATGGTGCCACACAATCATATGTTCATGATGATTGGCCTTGAAAACTCGAACCATTCCATTGATTAATGGAGGCAAAAGGCTTGAACTGGAAAGGCTTTTCAACGGATGTAAGTAAAGGGAAGGGAGTTGGTCCCGTTATTGCTGTGACGGATGGAAGCATGAGTGAAGAAGATGAGCCAAGTTACAACGAAGATGGAAATGGTGAGAATTCCAGTGGGGGTAAATGCAAGAATGAATGGCCATGGAAGAGAACGAAATGGACAGATAATGTGGTTAGGCTTCTAATAGCTGTTGTTTCTTGTGTGGGAGATGATGGTACGATCGAGGGTGTGGAACGACTTAAACACAAAAGAAGGGTAAGTGGAAAACAGTATCAAAGATAATGATCTGTAAAGGTTCTCATGTTTCACCTCAACAATGTGAGGATAAATTCAATGACTTGAACAAGAGATATAAGAAATTGAATGATATTCTTGGGAGAGAAACTAGTTGTGTAGTCGAGAATCCTTCTGTAATGGACTCGATGCCTCACCTCTTGCGTAAGGCCAAGGAAGACGTCAAGAAGATTTTGAGCTCGAAACATTTATTTTACCAAGAAATGTGTGCTTACCATAATGGACAGAGTATACCCAATTGCCAGGATCTTGATATCCAGGGATGTATACTTCCTGAGAGATGCTTGAAAGACAATAACAGGTACGAGGAGGAAGAAGATGACAATGAGGATGATTATGAAATGGACAATGAAGATGATAATAATGCTATTTGTGGGGAAAGGATCCCTGAGCTCAATGAGAGGAAGAAAGCAAGTGTAGAGGAAGGTCATTACGGATCGCAATGTGCTGGCCATGACAGTTCAAGTTGGAGATGGAAGGATTTCAAGACTCTACAAGGTCATCATCGGTGCGAAAGGATTGGATCAAGAGGAGGATGCTGCAACTTCATGAGGAATGAGTGAAGTTACAGTCGGAAGCTTTTGAGCTTGAAAAACAACGATTTAAATGGCTGAGGTATTGCGATAAGAAAGATCGAGAACTACAGAGGTTAAGGCTGGAGAACGGAAGGATGTCAATCGAGAATCAACAGAGCGTATTGCAACTGAGGCAAAAAGAACTCGAAATAGGTTACAGGAGTTCTGATACATCTTTAGAACCCACTTCACACGGCATTGATAGACTGCAAGGCAAGGTTCAGATTGATACGTGCAACCATTAATAGCTCTTGTATCACATTTAAGTTTTGGAAGTAAGACTTGGCTAAGGCATACAAGGCAGACTTCCGCTCCCTCTTTAGCCATGTAAATCTAAAGAAGCATGCTAATTTTGTGAGGTAATCCACGCTGAGATGAAATTATAAATAAATGTATTTTTCTCACCTTTTCTATATACTAGCAAATGTAACTGTTCTATAGATTTATATAATTTTTGTTAAATTAAAAGTTATTGGGTAACCTATGTATTTAGTCACCTAACAATTCTCATTGTTCTGATTTAGCCAATCAACTATTTTCTTTTCAAAATCATCATTAAACTTACACTTTTGTTTCGTTTTGGTCACCTAACATTAAAAAATTAACGGTAATACTAATATGTCCCGTAAGGTAATATAATGTCATCATTTAAATAATAAAAAATGACATGCTACCTAAAATTAATATATTATTTATTATATTAGTATTTTATGATATATATATATATATATATATATATATATATATATATATATATATATATATATATATATGACACCCTCTTATTGGTATATTAGTAGTTCATTTAAATACGTGTCACCCTCTGATTGATGGAAAATAAATCAATTGAATTAAAATATATTTAATCCTTCAATGATGACACATGTCATGATACATGTCATGACACTTGTCATCAATGACACAAAGCATCATTTTATTTGAAGGTTAAATTTATTTTAATTTATTAAAAGTAAGACTAAATTTATAGAATATATAAATAACAGAGACAAAATATATAATTATGCTAAAAATTTTAACTAATACGTCATCATTGAGTTAAATTTCAAGGACATATAGTTTGAGTTAAATTTCAAGGACATATAGTTTGATTGAACCTTCTAAATGATTAGATGGTCTAATTGAAACAAATCTAAACATGGATAGTTAAAATAAAAAGGAAAATAGTTGAGTGATCATCCTTGTAGTTTACCCTTAAATAAAATTCTCGTTACATTACGTGGCATGCTGCATTAGATTTGTCGTCATCTTTGGAGCCATCGATTTCCGTCCGGCCTTTATTCAACTCATCATAAAACAACAAGCGAAGAAGTGAGCTACAACAGATGACCCTTCTCTATGTTATCATCAAATTTCAGATCTCTGCATTCAGTTTCTAAGCCACTCTTAAACCCTTCTCCCCTTTATTCATCTTGTTCCTCTCTTCACACGCGTTCGCTTCCTCCTTCCGAAGCAAAAAGCCCCCCCACCAACTGTAACAAAACATCCGCTTTGTTTCCCCATAACCCACTTCTCTCAATCCTACAGAAATCCAAATGTTTGCACCAACTAAAACAAATCCAATCCCAAATGACAATCAATGGCTTAATGTCGGATTGGTTCTTTTCCAGCCGCCTTATCGCTTTCTGCGCCTTGTCAGAACACAAAAACCTTGACCATTGCTTCAAAATTCTCTACAGTCTGCAAAACCCAAATATTTTTTCGTGGAATGTTACTATTAGAGGCTGTGCCGAGAGTGAAAACCCCATCGAAGCTGTTTTTGTTTATAAGCGGATGCTTAGGGATAATGGGTGTACTAGGCCGGATAATTATACTTACCCTTCTTTGATTAAAGTTTGCTCCTTTTTGATGTTGAAATATTTGGGGTTTGAGATTCTTGGCCATGTTCTGAAATTGGGTTTTGATGCAGATATGTATGTTCACAATGGGGTGATTCACTTTTTGGTGTTGTCTGGGGAATTGGAGTTTGCAGCTAAGGTGTTTGATGAAAGTTGTGTGAGAGATTTGGTTTCTTGGAATTCTTTGATTAATGGCTATGTTAGGAGTGGGAGAGCGAAGGAGGCAATAGGACTTTATAGGAAAATGCAAGAGGAGCGAGTCGAGCCTGATCAGGTGACGATGATTGGGATGGTTTCTTCATGTGCACAGTTGGGAAATTTGAAACTAGGGAGATATTTTCATAAGTATATTGAAGATCATGGATTGAATTTGACAGTTCCACTGTCTAATGCACTCATGGACATGTATATTAAGTGTGGGAGTCTTGAGAGAGCACAAAGGATATTCGATAACATGGAGAAGAAAACGATTGTTTCTTGTACTACAATGATCGTTGGATATACTAGATTTGGGCTTTTGGATGCTGCTAGGAAGCTTTTAGACGAGATGCCTGAGAAGGACGTTGTACCATGGAATGCGATAATCGGGGGTTACATTCAAGCCAAACGCAGTAAGGAGGCTTTGGCTTTGTTTCATGAAATGCAGGATGGCGGTATGGATCCGGATGAGGTTACCATGGTTCATTGTTTATCTGCATGCTCACAACTTGGGCCCTCGATATCGGAATTTGGATTCATCATTATATCGAAAAGCACAGATTTCATTTAAATGTTGTGTTGGGGACTGCTCTAATTGACATGTATGCTAAATCTGGGAACATCAAAAAGGCTCTTCAGGTTTTCCATGAAATGCCATCTAGGAATTCCTTGACTTGGACATCAATTATCGGAGGTTTGGCTCTTCACGGAAATGCAAGTGACGCCCTATCTTATTTCTCGGAGATGATTGAAGTCGGTTTGAGGCCAGATGAGGTTACCTTTCTCGGGGTTTTGTCAGCTTGTTGTCACGGTGGTTTGGTGGAAGAGGGTCGTACATGCTTCATCCAGATGACATCTAAGTTCAATCTGTCTCCTCAGCTTAAGCACTATTCGTGTATGGTGGACCTTCTCGGTAGGGCTGGGCTTTTGGATGAAGCCGAAGGGCTTATCAAGAGCATGACAATTGAGCCTGATGCCGTGGTGTGGGGAGCATTGTTCTTTGCATGTCGAATGCATGGAGATTTTCTAATGGGAGAAAGAGCTGCTTTAAAACTTCTGGAACTTGACCCTCATGATAGTGGCATTTATGTACTGCTTGCCAACATGTATGGGGATGCAAATATGTGGGAAGAAGCAAGAAAAGTTAGGAAGATGATGAGAGAAAGGGGAGTAGAGAAGACCCCTGGTTGTAGCTCAATCGAGGTCAATGGTACTGTTTTTGAGTTCATTGTTAGAGATAAGTCTCACCCTGAATCGGAACGGATATACGATTGCTTAATTCTGCTAACACGACAATCAGAGTTTTCCGAATTGATGTGTAGTCTTCCTAAATGTTACAACGACTTTGTCATAAGCTTTGGAACATGAAACCCCAAGGCCTGATTCCATGGAGATTAGGCCTGCTAAACCGAAGGTATATCAAAGACATTATTCAATTGTTATTCTGCTTTCCAAATGCCAATCCTTATTATTTTGGTTGGGGCAGCATTTCTTTCTTGGAATTGGTACCATTCGTTCGATCAATGTTTCCAATATTTGTTCATAATTCTGACGAAACCTCCTTGGGGATGACTTTTGAAGCATCGTTCGTTGAACCTACGACATTGGTTGGTATTATGTTTTCTAAGATTTTGTCAACGGTTTTTGAGGGTTTTTTTTGGGCCCAATACCCCAAGCAGATTAATTATTTAGGTATTAGGCCCACATGGACTTTATTTTGAAAACTACGGTATTTCTACGGTAAACACTGAACTCGTAGGTGACGAGTTCCTGAAGATATTATTTTCAAATTGTCCCCATGAAGTGGGTCTCATGTGGGTCATTATTTTATTATAATTTAAATGACTCATCACCTCGGCTTGACAAGTCTGTTTAAAAAATATTTTTTAAAATTACAAAAATAAAATAAAAAGTATAAATTAAAAAAAATTAAGTGGAACTCATCACGTCGAAATGACGAGTTTCTTCAAATTCAAAAAAATAGTCGTTGGTCAACGGCTATATGAGCAACGATCATGGCCAATAATCACTTGGAACTCGTCACCTCGAGGTGACAAGTTCGACTGAATAAAATTTAAAAAAATTAAAATTAAAAAAATACAAAGTAATTTAATAATTGAAAAAAAAATATTTACGAAGAAAATTTATTTATATTTCCTAAGTTTTTGACAATGTCGCGGAGTGGTCGAATGATAATGTCGCGAGGCTCGTCGAGTGCGCCGTGGTCATAAGCTTTGATCGTCATCATTGTCGTCATGGTCTTGTCGAGGAGGTGTACTTAACACACTTTTCGATCCACCTTCGAAATGCGATGATGCATTTATGACATTTGAAGCCATCATTACCGTAACTGCTTCAACTTGGCTTCTACTTTGTTGATCATATAGGATATGGTCCCACTCACCCGCAACCGCATATTCTGTCGAAGATGCTTAAGTGTATTTCCATGCATCCAATGAATCTCCAACCCAATTCGGTCGAGTCTCGGCTGAAGTATGAAATGGAGGATAGAAATCGAAACTAGCTTGAGATGCATAATAGTACACTTCAGTTGCATATGCTGAAGCAGAAGAAGAAGATTGCGATGTTTTCTTCTTGGACTTGGACTTGGCTCATGTGGTATGATGATGTTCCCATTCTTCCCTCTCTTTCGGTGTCGTGAGATATGATTTCCCATTTGCTTCGTAATTTCAAATATAGGGAGAATAATCGAAATCTAAGTCCAGCAGTGTAATGTTGAAACGCGGGGGACATCGACTTTTCGACCTGAGTGGAAAATTGTAGCCTTGCAAAGCTACCGGTACAGAAAGACCAAAATCATCGAGCCCCAATTGGTATTATAACACATAACGAAATCTTCCAAATATCGCAGATACTGAATGTGCACAAAATTACAGGATTTATCCGGCAATAATACCCCTCTGATCAGTTGGAGAAGATATGCTCGAGATGCGAAAATAACCTCCTCCTCGGTAGACTTGTTCATCACATGGAATTCCGATTCCAGCCATGTTATATGTACTCGAAAGCCGTCGATGACGTCAAATGGTGGCCATTTTCCCAAAACTTGGTAGACCAACGATGCGGGGTCGTACATGTTCTGACTCACCACGAGGGCTCCATTCATCGGAACACCGAGTTGGTAAACGACGTCTTCCAATGTAATCATCACTTCACCACTCGGAAGTGGAACGTGTATGTCTCGGGTCGTTAACGTTCGACCAAAGCCTCAATCAACGCCGAGTACAACTTGAAGCCACGCACAAATATGGCCGAAAATAGACCAGATTGATGTAGATATATCACAATTTGCTAATGCAACTCTCCGTATGTCATCTCGCGCTTTTTTAGATTTCGACAAAATATATGTTTTTTAATCTCTTTGGATTCAAGGTTTGGCGAGAAACCATGTAACATCCCAAGTATTGGGTCAGTGACCAAATGGTAAGAACTTCTAAATTCAGTGGTTGAATTAGAATAAAGTGATAAGTTTAGTTATTTATGGAGGAATTTGTGTTGGGTAATATAAGAAATATGGAATTATAACAAGGGCAAAATAGTAAATTATAGGGTAATGATATTTTAGGATATATTGGTGTAAAAGAGAGAGAATTGTCTAGAAACACTTCATTTCTTCTTCTTTACATGAGCTTCCTCTTCTATGGTAAGAAGTTGGATTTTGTAGTTTTACTTTAATTTTTGGTTTAGTAATGGAAGTTTAGATGGTATATAAGCTTAAGGAAAGCTTATATAGAATTAAAACAACAATATGAGTGTTTTAGAGATGGATTTGTAAAATGAGTTTTTAGGTGAATTGTTATTATGGTCTAGTTTTTGAAGTTTTAATTGGATATTTGACTTGTCAATAGTCTAATTAAAAGATGAGGAGTGATAGAATTGGGTAATAACATGTTTGAATGTTGAGTATGATTTGAAGATTCAAGTGTTTGAATGAGAATTTGGGATGTTTAAGAGTTATAAATGTGTACAAGTTGGTTTGAAGGTATAAAGGTGAGTTTATAAACTCAAAGAATGTGTTTAAGAGAGTTTTTGGGTGGATTTTAAGTGATTTTCGAGCTGAAAATGGCCATTATGGGCCTGATGTATCGGTACACTTAGGAGAAGTACCGATACATCATAAGTTGAATATGAGTGATTGTATGAGTGTGTATCAGTACACTGAGGAGTGTATCTATACCCTCAAAACATCGAGTGCTATTTGTGTATCGATACTGAGGAGTGTATCGATACACCTAAAACATCGAGTGCTATTTGTGTATCGGTACACTGAGGAATGTATCGATACCCCTAAGTATAAAATGAAAATTAGGGTTCTTGTATATCAAGTTATTACGATCCGATTTTATTGAGATGAGATTGATATTGATTCTAGATTGTTTGTGTAGTGGCTGAACACAAGTGAATTTCCAATCAGCTTGGCATTTCGAATATCGACTTGAAAAGATTTGGATTAGACTTTAGTGAGGCAAATGTGAGTGCAACTTCTCTTTTCGTAATAGAATTGAGGAAGGCTTGTGATCGCTTGTAAATGTCTACGCTAAGGCAAGCAAATCTGTGCAAGTATACACAATCGATTCAAGTAATATAGGGTAAGTGAGTATCGTCTCCACAGGGATTGGTCGAGAAATATATTTTCACCACAACTAGAACTAATGTCACAAACTAAGTCCTACTAAGTTGTCAACTTAAGAACTAATATTAATAAAACAAAGAAGTGATTTAATGAGTTCAGGAAAGTTTAGTCGAGGCAAAATAAATATGCAGAATAATAAAACAAAACAAGACAAGTGCTACTTTAAATATAATGCAAACAACCTCACATATTCAGACATATCACAGAGCACTGATGCTAAACTTTTGATTCGACAACAATTATTTCTAAGTTCAGAATGAATTATTATGACTTACTAAGCTGCCTGATAGGATTACTAGGTATTCTTAGAAAGTTGCTATGGAATTATTACTCAGCGTTAACTACAACCCTTGGTTTGTCAAACTGTTGTTGTAGCAATACCTCTCAGCGTAAACTATAGGCGTTGTCTATCTTACACTAGCGTCTATCCCTTTTAGTCGATTGAAACTCACTCCTTATCTCTAAGGTAACAAGTTAGAACTTCACCATCACAGATTCATTCCATTGCTCACGTGGATCTATCTTAATTCTCTCGAATCTAAGAATCACTATCTAGACAAAATGCTATCTCTCGATGCTCTTACAATGCCAAGACATGTTTTACCAAAACCCCATACGATCTCTCGATGCTCTTACAGTGTAAGGTAAAATATTTAAACAATGAGAAAAACAATCATAAGCAAACATAATTCATCATTCATAGAACATAAAAATATTGTTCAGGCAAAACAAAGTTTAACACCAAGTAAGACATTCATGGTGCTATCAAAGATCATCCAAAATTTAATGTTTAGTACAACCCTAAAAGATAAAGAGTTAAAACAAAGAAAGAACGACTCCCAAAATCGGGGGTTCTGTCGTGACGATTCTGATCAGCATTACGCCTGCCTTGGTGATCACCCTCTCTCGAGGCCTGATCACCGCTCTGCTAACGTCTGGTTATGGAGGACACCAGGAAAGGTCTGTGGGTAGACGATGAAGAAGCACTGCAGTTGCTTGCTCATGCCTTAGGTAAAGTTCTTCTCTCTTCTTCTTTCCCCTCCTCTTTTCTTTGGCGGCTACGGCTGGTTATTTATAAGGAAAAATCTCCTAGGTCTTTGCATGTTTTTTGGAGTTTCCTTAAATAACCGTTGTCAAATAAATGTCCAGACTTAAAAAGGAAAGACGGCTGCCAGAATAACTAAGGCTTGCTTGCACGTGAAGTAGGTTATCCAGCTGGCTTGTGACATAGGTGGTTTTGTCACACCTGCTTCAGACTTCCTCAGATAAACCTTGCCTCGACGAGATAAATCTGCTCCTCACGTTTTCATCTGTTCCGTTGGCCTTTGCAAATTTACGTTGTCACGACTGAAATGTTCTTCCTCTATAAGTTTCCTGTACAACACAATCCAAACAGTCCTTTCCCCTCACAACATCAGTCAAGCCAAATAAATCTTGCCTAAGCAAAATTTATCCACCACAAGCTAATATAACCTATATGCAACTAAAATGCTATGCATACTTTGTTTAGACGAGCAATAACTTAAGTGAAAAGACTAGAAATTAAGTCTTTTTACGGAGTTATCAGCTTGCGCTACGCCAACCTCAGTGTTTTCGATCGAAAACTATATATTTATTTTATGGTTTATTTAAATGTTTTATTCAATTTCCAATTGTATAAACTATATGTTATGAACTTTGAAAATGTGAATATGAGCTTCGAACCAGTGAATGTGAATATATTCTATGACATAGAAGCTATGTGAATAAGAAAC